GCATATCAAATATTTCCCTGCGCTCCTTTCTTGTATTTTAAATTATGCTGCCTGCTAACAGGCTCAGGCAACCAAAGCTGCTGTGCCCTTTTTCACAACCTTCCCGAGAGGCATTCTGACGAATTTGTGACTGGCACCATGTTAACAAATGTACTTATTCATTTGTTCAAGGATAGGCCAGAGAAACACAGGAAAGCGCATTAATGAATTGGTCATCTTTCTCAGATCCCTCAGTGGTGTGTGGACATGGTGAGGGCCCTTCCCGGCCCTAAGCGCGGCGTGGCTTGTACACAGCCACGTAGGGTGGCAGCCATGAGTGTGGCTCAGAGAGTGGCAGATGAAATGGACGTCATGCTGGGGCAGGAGGTCGGATACTCCATCAGATTTGAGGACTGTAGCTCTGCAAAGACCATACTGAAGTAAGTTATTAGCCGGGTTTCCATCCAAAGTTGCGAATTTAACTTATGCGCAAAACTGGTATATCACATAAAACATTTGCGAATGAGCATCGTTTCCATCCAACGAGTCAAAGAGAACAAAATGGTCACTTCCTGATGGCACTATAAATCACTAAGAAAAGTAGGAGAATATAATAATTTTCATATATATTAAATTACTTGCGCCTCAGAGAGAGCAGACGAAACCCCATGAAATGCGGTCATTGCTTTCGGAGGTGGATGCTGCTGTTTGGGAACGCAGTCGTGTTATACAGAAATACTTTGATGACAGACTTTGCTCGTGCATTTCTGAATGACCATAACATTTCAGATGCTGTGGAATGAGATCGGTCCGCTGGTTAGTCAGGTTTTGCCGTCCCATAGCACAAAGTCACATGACTTTTTTTTGATGCGCTTGGAGGAATTTATTCGCAAAATGCATTTCCATCTCCGATTATTCGCATTAACCCTTTTTCGCACAAAGTCAAAAACCACCTCAAGCGAGCGTGTAAACTTTTTTGCGAATTAAGGGATTTTTATTAGAAATTTGGCGTTTCCATCACTCGTTTCTAATGCGATACTTCAAAATGCGCATAAAAGCAGGGTGATGGAAACGGCTATAGTTCTGGTAGAAAACAAAGATTTAGACATAAGCAATGTGTATGTGGTTTTTCAAGATGAGTCGTAGTGTAGGTACTTTTGGACAAATGACATTTGGTCTTTTTTGGCGACACCGGAGATAAAGATGAGTGAATAAACGTGTCTTGTGTTTACAGATATATGACAGACGGTATGTTGCTCCGCGAGGCTATGAACGACCCGCTGCTGGAGCGATACGGTGTCATTATTCTCGATGAGGCTCACGAGCGCACCTTAGCCACAGATATTCTGATGGGCGTCCTCAAAGAAGTGGTCCGGCAGAGATCCGACCTTAAGGTATGTCATGCTGATCGTATGCTTGCACCACCTTGTGGTTGTTTTTTATTCTTATAAACTGGAGGACATGAGGGGAAGAATATTTAGGTCTGCATGGAATGGAAATTCACCTTATTTTCTAAATGTATCTTAATGATCTTATTCCAAACAATTCATGCATTTCAAATACATTTATTTATTTTTTACAGTCTTCAGTTACTTCAGTTTCATCACAACTTTAGAGAGAAAATTAGGCACTTTATAGTACAGTCATGTTTTATATGAACGTACAATGTACTTACTATATTAATTGCAATAACTGAATAATAACTAGGTACTAATCTTGAACTTACACCTAAACCTAACCTAAACCCATGTCGTAACCTTACATTAGTCCGTACTTTCTTTGGTAAGTACACTGTAAGTCAACCCAAAATTCTTAAATTCAGTTGAATTTAACTAATTGAAAAATCGTGTAGCATTAGCATTGCTTGCATTTTAGGGAACTAAAGTGTAAGGTATATCTGATCAGTTGAAAACATTCGCCTTTTAAAAGCGGTAGAATTGTTTATAGCAGGGTTAATTTGCCCTTCCACAAATTAAGATCTTAAAAAGATCTCAAGTGGGAGCAGAAACTCTTAAAGTTTTGGCGTTAAATGTTGCGTACATTGCAAAAAAAAAAAGAATATCTCCCTTAGATTTGGGCTTGCTTTCCAGTATAAATATATAAGCCTTAAATCAAGATACATTTATTTGAGTTAAAATTATGATTGCTTTCTAAGAAATTGATCAAAATTAAATGAATTAATGCTTAAAATGAGCACAGATGTCCCTTGAATTAAGCTGATTTTTCTGAGCTCATTGGCAGATATTTGGTCTTGCTAATCTTAAACACTTAATTTTGATAAATTTCTCAGAAAACAAGACATCTTGTGTAATTTTGCTTCTCAAGTACATGTACCTTGATTTCAGATTTAGATATTTTTCTTTATAATTGTTTTTAATGGGTCTATAAAAGGTCTTGAAAAATTCTTAAATTTACTTTCGTAAAGCCTGCAGAAACTCTCATAGATTCGTTCCCGGATGTCCAGGTTTCATTTCATAAACAGCTTTTTTTTAACCACTAGTTGTGGAGGTGAATTTGAAAAGCAAAATAATACACACATTAACTATGAAAAAATTTGGATTTGATGGTGTTCTGAATACATTTAATTTAATTTATGCATTTAGCAGACGCTTTTATCCAAAGCGACTTACAGTGCATTCAGGCTATACATTTTTTACCAGTATGTGTGTTCCCTGGGAATTGAACCCACAACCTTTTGCACTGCTAACGCAATGCTCTACCACTGAGCCACAGGAACACTTCCTATATATAATGAATAAGGTGATATTTTCCAAAAACTGAATATTATGGAAGGTGGTGAATATTGTGTGTATATACATATATTTGATTAATACCAACCCTCTACATTGCGAGTAAATGTAGTATAAGTTTAGCTCAGATATATTTTCACTCGCCGAACACTCTCTGACTGAGCGCATCAGGGTTTCACTCTCTGTCAAGCGATCTGTGCTGTTTTTCAGTTCATCTGAATGGATGTGCAACGCACCTGTATTTAACGTACCGTAAACTCTAGTGTGAAGGCGCACGACTCGCCGTCGCTTT